TGAAATCCCCCACGCATTTTCAGGGCCATCGATTCGGCATTCATGTGTAAGGGTTTCCTCCAAGGTTATTACAAAAATAACAACAAAAAAGAAATCATTACCATTTAAGAATAAGCAGTTCATTTCGCATTCTTGTCACTTGAAACGATTGTCGTCTGTTGCACTCAAGTGTCTCATCCAAAGGCCACAAATTGTCATAAATAGACGGCAAACGCAACGCAACGACACATTTGTCACATCGACAATTCCTGGCTTGGCTCAGAAGTGGTGACACAGTCTGCAGGTAAAGCAAGGTTGCAAGAGTGGCTGAGATTAACGGGGCAAGTACATCTGTAACATCTGTGGAAGCGGTACCTTGATGGCACCTTGGTGGGAGTACAAACACGACGGCATTCGCCTTCAAATCGGTAATGACACAACGTGGCAAAAAAAGAGATCTCAGCATGCCTTGAAATAGATTTCAAAAAATAGAAAGACAGATGGATTTATTTTTAAAAAAACGTTTGCGGAATGGAAAAATAATTTTAAATTTTTTCACAACTTTTTTTAAACATCCTTAAAAGGATGTGTGTGAGGACAATGCAAGTAATATTTTTCAACCGCCGCCACAATAAACGTTTTGTTGTGGTCTCCCACATGCTGAGCAGGTTTCCTCCATTGTTAGTAAATAGAAACCTCTGATGACACACTGATATTACTGAACGTGCTCAAGTTGTAGTTTCCCGAAGTACTCTTCATACCGGTTCTCAGGGCTTCGTTTTTTTTTTTTTTTTTTGTCACTTAACCCACTCTCTTCCCATGACACTAAATTGTCATCATTACCAGCGCCATCAGCATTAGAGGCGGCGAAGTGAGCAAGCATGGGAAATAGGGAATTCCATCATTTAAAAAAAAATGTTTTTTAAAATGATTTAAAAAATATTTTTTTAAGGTATTCAAATTAACAAACGTGGATTTTTAAAAAAATATTTTTTTGAAGTATTAACAAACGTGGATTTTTTTTTTAAATATTTTTTCTAAGTATTAACAAACGTGGATTTTTCAAAATAATATTTTTCGAACTATTAACAATCGTGGATTTTTTGAAAAATATTTTTTCGAACAATCAACTAAAGTGGATTTTTTGAAAAATATTTTTTGAAGTATTAACTAACGTGGATTTTTTTTTTAAAAATATTTTTTGAAGTATTAACTAACGTGGATTTTTTAACAAAATATTTTTCGAAATATTAACAAACGTGGATTTTTTAAAAAATATTTTTTTAAAGCATTAACAAACGTGGATTTTTTAAAAAAAATATTTTTTTAAAGCATTAACAAACGTGGAAATAAATTATTTTGATATATACACCAACGTGGATTTTTAAAAAAATATTATTTTGATATATACACCAACGTGGATCTTTTAAAAAATATTATTTTGAAATATACACCAACGTGGATTTTTTAAAAAAAATAATTTCAAAGTATCAACTAACGCGGATTTTTTAAAAAATATTTTTTCGAAATATTAACTATCGTGGTTTTTTTAAAAAATATTTTTTTCAAAGTATTTAAAAACGTGGATTTTTAAACAATATTTTTTCAAAGTTTTAACAAACGTGGATTTTTTAAAAAATATTTTTTCGAAGTTTTAACAAACGTGGATTTTTAAAAAATAATTTTTCCAAATATTAACAAATGTGGATTTTTAAAAAATATTTTTTTCGAAATATTAACAAGCGTGGATTTTTAGAAAAATATTTTTTCAAAAAAATATTTTTTTGGATTTTTTACAAAAATATTTTTTTAAGCATCAACTAACGTGGACTTTTTAAAAAATATTTTTTCAAAGTATTAACAAACGTGGATTCTTTGAAAAAATATTTTTTTGGATTAACGTGGATTTATTAAAAAAAATATTTTTGCGAAGTATTCGCTAACGTGGATATTTTAAAAAATATTTTTTCAAAGTATTAACAAACGAGGACTTTTTAAAAAACGTTTTTTCGAAGTCTTAACAAACGTGGAATTTTTAAAAAATAATTTTTGGAAGCATTAACAAACGTGGATTTTTTAAAAAATATTTTTTCGAAGTATCAACTAACGTAGATTTTTTGAAAAATATTTTTTCAGAAATCAAAAGGCGGGAATTTTTCCCAAAAAAAAAATTCAAATCTGCAATCCCTATACTATTGCAGAAAATGCAATTAATTTTTCGTTTTTTTTTTCTTGCCTCATTTCCATGCGTGTTTAGTAAATATTGGTAAAAAGGAGAACCTCTCAAGAAGGCCCATATTTTTTACTCTTTAAATATTTTTTCTTGTAGCTTTTGTAATGCAGTGATACAGCATTTATATTGGAAAAAAATTAAGTGTTTTACGATTACACTGTGCGATAAAATTTATTTTTTTCCATAGTTAGGAAGAAAGGCCAGCAGATTATGAAAATAGAGCAACAAAAAGAAGCCACCTGTATCGGCATTTTGAAAGTTTGGCATCGAAAGGTGACCAAAATAAATATAAATAAATAAATTTACTGTTTCGAGATTCCTTGAAATCCGTGTGCATTTTAGGTATATCGTGTCTTTGGCAATATTGCCGATAAAAATTCGAGGAATATTTTGATTGAAAGTTTTAACTTTCCAGCGAATCAAAAAAGGAATTCTTTTGGTTATTTTTTTTTTTAAATATTGCTGCGATTTCCTTTAAACTTCGTTTATGTATTTATGGAATGCGCCAACCAGTTCCTGGCACGTTGTATTATTCATATCAGATACGATGTGTTTCCATGTTGCTAAATACTTTGAAAAAATATGTTCTTTAAGAGTCGACTTTGGTGAATCCTTTGAAAAAATATTTGTAAAAAAACTTAAAGTCGGTGAATAACTTGAAAAATATTTAAAAAAAAACCATGCTGGTGAATACCTTGAAAATAATTTTTAAAAAATTAAAGCTCATTTTTTTTGAATTTGAAAAAAATAATTTAAAGAAATATTTTTTTAAAAAATCCACGTTAGTGAATACTTCAAAAAAATATTTTTTTTTAATCCACGTTGGTGGATACTTTGAAAAAAATATATTTTTTAATCCACGTAGGTGGATACTTGAAAAAAATATTTTTTTTAATCCACGTTGGTGAATACTTTGAAAAAATATATATTTTTTTTAAATCCACGTTGGTTAAAACTTTGAAAAAATGTTTTTTAAAGCATCCACATTGGTGAATACTTACAAAATTTTTTTTTTAAAAAATCCACGTTGGTGAATACCTTGATAAATTTTTTTATAAAAAATTCAAGTTGATGAATACCTTCTAAAATTATTTTTAAAAAAAATCCACGTTAGTGAATACCTTGAAAAAATATTTTTTAAAAAATCCACGTTGCTGAATACTTACAAAAAATACTTTTTAAAAAATCCCCGTTGGTGAACACTTACAAAAAATATTTTTTAGAAAATCCCCGTTGGTAAATACTTCGAAAAAAATATTTTTATAAAATTCCACATTGTTGAATACTTACAAAACATATTTTTATAAAAATCCTTATTGGTGAATACCTAGAAAAAATATTTTTTAAAAAAAATCCAGATCTATTAATACCTTGACAAAATATTTTTTAAAAAATCCAAGTTGATGAATGCTTTAAAAAAAATATTTTTTTATATCCACTTTTTATCCATACTTTGAAAATATATTTTTATAAAAAATTCAAGTTGATGAATACTTTAAAAAAATACTTTTTAAAAAATCCACGTTGGTGAATACCTTGAAAAATATTTTTTTAATAAATCTACGTTGGTGAATACTTTGATAAAATATTTTTTAAAAAATTCAAATTAATAAATACCTTAAAAAAATATTCGTGGGCGAATACCTTGAAAAAATATTTTTTAAAAATTCGACGTTGGTGAATATTTTGATAAATTTTTTTTATAAAAAATTCAAGTTGATGAATACCTTAAAAATATTTTTTAAAAAATCCACGTTGGTGACTATCTTTAAAAAATATTTTTTAAAAAAATCTACCTTGGTGAATACCGTGAAAAGATATTTTTTAAATCCACATTGGTTAATACTTTGAAAATTTTTTTTTAAAAATCCACCTTGGTGAATGCCTAGAAAAAATATTGTTTTTGAAAATTTTTTTTTTTTTTTAAAAATTCACGTTGGTGAGTATCGTGAAAAATATTTTTTTTAAAAAATCCACGTTGTTGAAAACCTTGAAAAATATTTTTTTTAAATCCACGTTTGTGAATATCGTGAAAAAATATTTTTTTAAAAAATCCACATTGGCGAATACCTTGAAAAAATATTTTTTAAAAAATCCACGTTGGTGAATACTTTGAAAAAATATTTTTTAAAAAATCCACGTTGTTGAATATCTTGAAAAAATATTTTAAAAAAAAAATCCACGTCGGTGAATACATTGAAATTTTTTTTTTTAAATCTACGTCTATTTATATTTTGAAATAATTATTTTTCAAAAAATCCTTGTCTATTGATACTTTAAAAAATATTTTTTAAAAAATCCACGTCTATTGATGCTGTTAAAAATATTTTTTAAAAAATCCTTGTCTATTGGTACTTCAAAAAAATATTTTTTTAAAAAATCCACGTCTATTGATACCTTAAAAAATATTTTTTTAAAAAAGACAGGTCTATTGATACCTAAAAAAATTATTTTTTAAAAAATCGACGTTGGTCAATACTTGGAAAAATATTTATAAAAAATCTACGTTCGTTAATACTTCGAAAAAATATTTTTTTAAAAATTTAATGTTTGTTAATACTTCGGAAAAAATATTTCATTTTTTAAAATCCACGTCTATCGATACTTTAAAAAATATTTTTTTAAAAATTCACGTCTTTTGATACTTTGAAAAAATAATTTTTAAAAAAATCTAAATTTTTTAAAACTTAAAATATATATTTTTTCCAAATCCTTTTAAAAAGGATTTCCCCATTTTTTTCTCCCTACATTTCTAATCTCTTGATCCACATCCAATTAGAATAGAAATCTGATAATAAATTTTAATAAAATCTGCATAAGTCCAAACCAACGGAAAATGCCGGAAAACATAACGAAAATCCCTGACAACAGAAGCAAAGTGAAAACAAACTGAAAAAAGGACATTAACAAACCGAGTGTAAATTGACAAACAAAACAATGAGAGAAAACTAAAACAAAGTACAACAACAACAACAACAGCTAAAGCCTAAAACTTGTCAACAACAGATTCTTCCTGCAATCCTCGAAGTCTGGGACACATCAGCAGGGCTTGGAAGCTGTAAAAACTCGCTCATAAAAGCCAAAGGCGGAAACTTAAGCTGAGTCCAACAACATTGCAGTTAGAACAACAACACATGTCCTCAGCCTCATAATCATGACCATAATGTTGATGCTGCTGTTACTGCTACTCCTGCTGATGCCATTGACAAGGAGGATGATGATGACGATGATGAAATTGATGATGACTGCGGCCATGCCAACGATGATATTGTCGCTGATAAATTCCAAACGACCATTAACTTCGGCCCATATGTTTCCTCAATTTCGGTGGCTCGACAACATTTGTTGTGGCTTTCGTGGCCTTACAACTTGTCGTGGTCGTCGTTGTCAATGGTGGTCCAAAGGACTAACATGGCTCATAACACTCTACGCCTTGTTGTGGCACGGCCTAACGACCACAAAGCTAACGCTGGTAGAGGCGGGCTCACACATCCGACTGACACAGCGTAACAATCATGCCAACATCTCGGAGTTATTGGATAATCTATTGCGAGGTTATGACAACAGTATACGACCGGATTTCGGAGGTAAGTTGCATAGGCATCAAAACAAATTTATTTGGCCCGCCAAAGGAAAACAAAGTTTTGCTTTGCAAATATTTAGTCAATCAAAGGCGTCTGATTGGAAAAAATTTTAAATAAATATTTGCCAAGGGTGGTGGAATGGAAAATTGGAGGGAAAAGTAAAGGATGTGAAAATGTTGGTGGATCATTGAAAAAAATATTTTTTTTTTCAAAAATCCAATTTTTAAATTTGGGGAATTTTTACAAAAAATTTATTTTAAAAAAAAATACACGTTGGGGAATTTTTACAAAAAAATATTTTTTAAAAAAATCCGCGTTGGTGAATTCGTTGAAATAAAATATTTTTTAAAAAATCCACGTTGGTGAATACTTACAAAAAATATTTTTTAAAAAATCCACGTTGGTGAATACTTTCAAAAAATATTTTTTAAAAAATCCACGTTGGTGAATACTTTCAAAAAATATTTTTTAAAAAATCCATGTTGGTGAATACTTTCAAAAAATATTTTTTTCAAAAATCCACGTTGGTGAATACTCACAAAAAAATATTTTTTTAAAAATTCACGTTGGTGAATACTTACAAAAAATATTTTTTAAAAAATACACGTTGGTGAATACTTACAAAAAATTTTCTTTACAAAATCCACGTTGGTGAATTCTTACAAAAAATATTTTTTAAAAAATCCACGTTTGTGAATACTTACAAAAAATATTTTTTTTAATCCTAAAAAATTGTTTTTTAAAAATCCGCGTTGCTTAATTCTTTGAAAAAAATATTTTTTAAAAAATCCATGTTAGTAGATACTAACAAAAAATAAATTTTTTGAAAATCCACGTTGGTGAATACTTGGAAAAATTAATTTTTTAAAAATCCACGTTGGTGAATACTTTGAAAAATATATTTTTTAAAAATCCACGTTGATGTATACTTTGACAAAATATTTTTTAAAAAATCCACGTTGGTGCATACTTGCAAAAAATATTTTTAAAAAATCAACGTTGGTGAATAATTACAAAAAATATTTTGTAAAAAATCCTCGTTGGTAAATACTGACAAAAAATATTTTTAAAAATCCTCATTGGTGAATACTCACAAAAAATATTTTTTAAAAAATCCACGTTGGTGAATACTTACAAAAAATATTTTTTTAAAAAATCCACGTCGGTTGAAACTTTGAAAAAATATTTTTTAAAAAATCTACGTCGGTTGAAACTTCGAAAAAATATTTTTTAAAAAATCCACGTCGGTTGAAACTTTGAAAAAATATTTTTTAAAAAATCTACGTCGGTTGAAACTTCGAAAAAATATTTTTTAAAAAATCCACGTCGGTTGAAACTTTGAAAAAAATATTTTTTAAAAAGTCCACGTTGGTGAATACTTACAAAAAATATTTTTTAAAATTTCCACGTTTGGTGAATACTTACAAAAAATATTTTTTAAAATTTTCACGTTTGGTGAATACTTCGAAAAAATATTTTTTAAAAAATCCACGTTTGTGAATACATTAGAAAAAATATTTTTTAAAAATCCACGTTGGTTAAAACTTACAAAAAATATTTTTTTAAAAAATTCACATTGGTGAATACTTAAAAAAAATTTTTTTTAAAAAATCCTTGTTGGTCAATACCTACAAAAAATATTTTTTTAAAAAATCCACGTTGGTGAATACTTACAAAAATATGTTTTAAAAAATCCACGTTGGAAAATTCTTACCAAAAATATTTTTAAAAAATCCACGTTGGTGAATACTTTGAAAAAATATTTTTTAAAAAATCCACGTCGGTGAATACTTACAAAAAATATATTTTTAAAAAATCCACGTTGGTGAATTTTTTGAAAAAAATATTTCTTTAAAAATCTACGTTGATGAATTCTTTGAACAAAATATTTTTTTAAAAATCCACATTGGTGAATACTTTTAAAAACTATCTTTTAAAAAATCCCCGTTGGTAAATATTTACAAAAAATATATTTTAAAAAATCCACGTCGGTTGAAACTTTGAAAAAATATATTTTAAAAAATCCACGTTGGTAAATATTTACAAAAAATATTTTTTTAAAAAATCCACGTCGGTTGAAACTTTGAAAAAATATTTTTGTAAAAATCCATGTTGGTGAATTTTTAAAAAAAAAAATATTTTTGAAAAAATCCACGTTGGGGAATATTTACAAAAAATATTTTTTAAAAAATTTCCGTTGGTGAATATTTACAAAAAATATTTCTTAAAAAAATCCCCATTGGTGAACACTTACAAAAAATATTTTTTTTTAAAAAATCCACGTTTGCGAATACTTACAAAAATATTTTTAAAAAAATCTACGCTGGTGAATACTTGCAAAAAATATTTTTTAAAAAATCCACGTTGGTGAATATTTAAAATTTTTTTTTAAATCCACGTTGGTGAACATATTTTGTGCTTCCCGTCACCTAATTTTTACAAAATTCTTGTTTTTATGTCATTTTTTCTCATTAATCTATCCCAACGCCTAAAAGTATGCTTTGAACATATGTTAATATCCGCTTTTTATCACATTTAAGCGGAAATAACAAACAGTTGGATAATACCAAGTAATTTTTTACACAAAGCCCACAAACTAATGCCAAGCACCCTCTCTTCCCCACCCCTTTTTGCTTTCAGTTCCGCTGCAGTGTTTAATCTTTCTTGCCTTTGCTCCTTTCTCGCTGATAGGCAATTGCATTGAAAGTCTCTGCATTAATGGCGTAATGAAGTGTTTAACAACGTCATGTAATTTATGTGCGTATGTTTGAGTGTCGGTCGGTCTGTCTAAATGGCTGCCTGTGGGTCGTTTGGTTGTTTGGTGTGTCTCCCAGGAATGCCAACTAAACGAAGAAGACCTCCAACATGAATGAATGGTTGAATCAAAAAATAAGTTGAACAGAGAAGCGAAAAGAAAAAACCCAGTATTACTAAAAGCTTGTTAGTGTGTGTGTGTGTATGTGTGTGTGTGTACATTAATTTTTTTTGCAATCATCCTCACAACTACAATTACCCTCGGATGCCTTTCAAAGAAACCGAAAGGGAGAAGGAGGAGGAGGTGCTGGAAAAAATTATCATTTCAAAAAATGATAGCAAGTCAAGCGGAACAGAAAATAACCCTCAAAATGAGTAACAAAAATTAAATTAATTTCAGTTCAGGCAGAGAAAGGAGTTTTTTGTTTTCTTCCTGCCAAAAGTTTGTGATTGCCTATCAAGGAAATGCGCTTTTGAATGATATTTTTTATTTTAAACATAAAAATCAAAAATATTTTCAGCCTAAAAGTATGCAATATATTATTATGCATTTCAATTTCAATTCAATTCAAATTTATTGAGTCTTTGATTTTTTTAACACGAAAATTTACAATTTTGAAGTGATGAAAGAAATGCTAAAAACGATACAAAATCCAAAAAAATTTCAGCCTAAAAGTATGCAATACAAATTTCAAAAATTTCCTAAATAGAAAAGATCCTCTTATCAATACACCACCCTACCGTGTTTCACATAAAATATTAATTTCCAAAATATTTTTGTTAATATACCCCAAAAGTATGCTATGGAATTTCTATTAACATCACTAATACGCCCCACTGGTCCCCGGCATTAATTTTCTAATATTTTAAACAAATATTAGCTCAACAATTTTTGAAATCATCAACTAAATTGCTTCTCATTTCAGGTCCACCTGCCACCGTTGAAGTCGATATCATGGTACGAAGCATGGGTCCAATTTCCGAAGTGGATATGGTAATAAATTTGCGAACAAAACAAAGAAAATTAATCCTTGATGAATCTTAATTATCACTTCAAATTGTTTTCCCACTCCCCTATCTCCCTCCCTTCTCTTCCACGTTTCAACAGACCTACTCCATGGATTGTTATTTTCGTCAATCATGGGTGGACAAACGTCTGGCGTTCAAGGGAGCCCAAGCCACCCTGGCGCTGAGTGTATCGATGTTGGCGCGTATCTGGAAACCAGATACCTATTTCTATAACGGCAAACAAAGCTATTTACACACCATAACGACACCAAATAAATTTGTGAGAATCCATCAGAATGGCCGGGTATTGTATTCGAGCAGGTGAGGAGGAGAGACAAGCAATTTCATGTTTTTTTGTCATTTTCTGCCCAAGTGTTTTTAATTTGTTTACAAAAGATTTTTAACTAATTTTTGTTGTTGTTTACAAATTTTTCAAATCCTGTAAATATTTGTCTTAGATTATCTCAATTTTTTAAATGGATTTTTTCTTTTGCTAATTCTCCTCCCTTTTTCTGTAGGCTGACCATAAAGGCTGGCTGCCCGATGAATTTGGAGGATTTTCCCATGGATATACAAAAATGCCCACTGAAATTTGGTTCGTGTAAGTTTAATAACCTTAAAAGCGAGAAGTAATCAACAATTATTTGAAAATTACCTAAATCCCTGAAAATATGCTACATATTTCTATTAATAATACTAATACGCAGTCATGGGCGTTGAACTTTGTTTAATAATGGAAAGTACTAAAAATCTATTTTTTTAAATACAAATGTGAGTGCCAAAGAAAATCGCCATTCTGTATTAAAGGTGACCCAAGGACATCCTTAAAAATGTACATGTAAAGAGGTCCAGGGAGCCTTATAAAAACACACATAAAACAAGCCTAGGAGCTTTTAAATACCCTAAAAACCCAAAATTTTTAATGTGACCTAAAAATAGTGAAAATTTTTTCAAAAATCGACCAACTTTAATGGTCGAAAAAAATATCTACGTTTTGATTTTTTTTTGTGGAAATTAAAAATAAATAGAAAAAATGTATATGTTTTTAAAAAATACTTTGAAAAATATATTTTTATAAAGTCCAAGCTGGTGAATTTCTTGGAAAAATTTTTCTTGAATAAGCAAATATTTTTTAAAAAATCTGCGTCCAATAAATGGCTAAAAAATATTTTTTTAAAAAATCCTTGTCCTATAAATGGCTAAAAAAATATTTTTTTTTAAAAAAAAATCCACGTCTTATACAAGGTTAAAAAAATATTTTGTAAAAAGATCACGTCCTATGAATGTTAATGATAAATTACTTTAAAAAAAAATCCACGTCCTATAAATGGCTAAAAAAATATTTTTTTAAAAAATCCACGTCCTAGAAAAGGCTAAAAAATATTTAAAAAAATCCCCATTGGTGAATACTTTGAAAAAAATATTTTTTTTAAATCCCCATTGGTGAATACTTCCAAAAAATATTTAAAAAAACACGTTCAATATGTCCGTGAAAAAATATTTTTTTTAAAAATCCTTGTTGGTTAATACTTAAAAAAAATATTTCTTAAAAAATCCACGTCGGTGAATACTTTGAAAAACAAAATATTTTCTAAAAAAATCTACGTTGGTGAATACCTTGAAAAAATATTTTTTTAAAAACCCATGTTGGTGAAAACTTTGAAAAAATATATTTTAAAAATCAACGCCGGTGAATACTTTGAAAAAATATTTTTTTAAAAATCAACGCCGGTGAATACGTTGGAAAATATTTTTTTTAAACTCCACGTTGGTGAATACTTTGAAAAAATATTTTTTTAAAATCCAAGTTGGTGAATAATTTGAAAAAAATATTGTTTAAAAAATACTTTGAAAAATATTTTTTTTAAAAATCCACGTTGGTGAAAACTTTGAAGAAATATTTTTTCAAAATCCACTTTGGTGAATACTTACAAAAATATTTTTTTAAAAATCCTCGTTGGTAAATATTTTGAAATAATATTTTTTAAAAAATCCTCGTCGGTAAATACTTAAAAAAAATATTTCTTAAAAAATCGACCTTGATAAAAATATTTTTTTTAAATCAACCTTGGTAAATTCTTTAAAAAATATTTTTAAAAGGCCACCTCATTGAATACTTTGATAAAATATATATTTTTTAAATTTGACATTGGTAAATACTTTGAAAAAATAGATATATTTTTTTAAAATATCCACGTTGTTGAATACTTTGAAAAAATATTTTTAAAAAAATCCAAGTTGGTGAATACTTTGAAAAAAAAATATTTTTTTTTAAAATCCCCATTGGTGAATGCTTTGAAAAAATATTACATAAAAATCCTCGTTTGTTGATACTTTCAAAAATATATTTTCATAAAAACCGCGTTGGTGAATACTTTGAAAAAATATATTTTCATAAAATCCGCGTTGGTGAATATCTAGAAAAAATATTCTTTTAAAAAAATCCACTTTGGTGATTAATTTAAAAAAAATATTTTTTTTTTTAAAAATCCACGTTAGTGAATACTTAAAAAAATATGTTGAATAATTTGAAAAAAATATTTGTTTAAAATATCCACGAAGGTGAATACTTTGAAAAACATTTTTTAAAAAATCCACGTTGGTGAATATTTAGAAAAAATATATTTTTAAAAAATCTACTTTGGTAAATATTTGGAAAAAATATTTTTTTAAAAAATCCCGGTTGGTGAATTCGTTGAAAATAAATATATATTTTTTAATCCACGATATTTTGAAAAGTTCTGCATTTTAAATTATTCTCCCCTATTGATTTCCTTGTAAAACCCCTCAAAGTATGCAATGATATTTGTCACATATTTCTCCTGCGGCGTTTTGTAATTTTGTTTACATTTTTTTTTTTCATAATCGTATTTTGTTTTTAATTTTTCGCTTCAATAATTAGTGGCTCATAAGGAGGGTTTCTTATTGTGAAGAGCACCTAAGAATCCATATTTCTTACGAAGATCTCATGAGGAGCTATTCTTTAGAAGTCCCCAGGAAGTAGATACCTAAATGGATTCTGTGTTTTTTTTTTATAAAAAAAAGGTTAATTCATATTCTTGCTAATGAACTTTTTCATGATCTTTTCCATTGAGTATCCTTAATGGACAATATACGAACTCCTCCTAGGAAATAAAAGCCTCTTTTAGAGGCCTTCTCTAAAAAAATTGTTTTTAATTTACAAACAAATCATGTCTCTGCATCTAAATATATTCCCCCAACATTGATTTTCATACGAACCTCCTGAAAGTAGGCAATGATATTTGTCATATATTTCCCCTGCGCTTTTTTAAATTGTTTACATTATTGATTTTATAATCGTAACTCGATTTTTTCTCGCGCCAATAATTAAATGCAAATTATTCAAAAACTGACATAGATATCATCCGGCCTGAGAACGAGACCATATTGAACCGGTACTAGTTTGTTTGTTTGTTTGTTTATCGTTGTTGTTGCTGCTGCTGCTGCTGCTGTTGGTACTCTTGATGTTAACATGACAACGACGAAGTGATGTTAATTTCACGAGCATGTTCGACTGACAACGACTCATTAATGTGATTATTCATTGTGGAGGCAAGGCACAAACTGCAAAAATCATAATCGTACTTAATGTGTCAGTCAATGAGAATGAAGTTGGGAGAGAAGTGCGGGAGAGAGGCGAAGGATGAGAGCATGTGAGGGAGGGGGCAAATTTGCAAAATAGACATAAATGCAAATGAACGTTGGGGAAATTGCGAGGCACATTTTTTTTTGGAAAAAAGAAATATTGTTTGGCAAACATCTAACGGTCTTGGAAATGAGAGGAAGTGCGTGGAGAGAGAGAGGTGAAAGAGTAGGAAATGTCTAAAAGTGCAAAAGGAAATGAAGAGACTTCAGTTTTGTTTTTTCGATGGAAACCATAATGAGTTCTCAATGGTGATTAATATGGGGGAAATGTGAACAGTTGTAAAGGGTGGCCGTGTTGGAGGGAAGAGTGGTAAAGAGAGAGAGAGAGAGAGAGAGAGAGAGAGAGAGAGAGAGACAGAGTTTGGGAGGCAGGCAATTTGCTTGATTTATTCAAAGAGAGACACAACTCCAAAAAGGAAATCGATTGAAACTTCGTAGACAATTATTTGGAAATATGTCACCAAAAATCAGTGCCAAATTTCTATGCAAGATCAAGCATGGTTTGAAGTATTTAAAGACTTTTGATAGATGGATAAAGAAAAAATTGTAGAAAAAAATAGAAATTGAATAAAAATTGCAAGTTTTGACAGATTAAATTATTGGAAATTGTAACCCAATGTGGGGGAGGTACCGGAAGAAATGGTTCGATCTCTACAATCTTCACAGCAGATCTTGTATTAGTATAAATAATGTGATGTGTAAAATATGAAGAGGACCGGATGCTTATTTCGGATTTCATAATCGTTTTGATTATTCAAAATCTTGACCCTTTATGGGGGAGGTACCAGAAGGAATGGTCCGAGCTCTACCATCTTTATAACTGATCTTGTGCTGATAGAAATATACAGATGTGCCAAGTATGAATGGAATCGGATGTTAATTTCTTGTTTTATAGGCTTCATGAATACTCAAAATATTGACCCTTTGTGGGGGAGGTACCAGAACGAATGGACCGATATATTCCGTCTACACACCGGACCTTTGGTTAATAAAAATATAGTGAATGTAAAATATGAAGAGAATCGGATGCTTATTTCGGATTTTGTGATCGTTTTGGTTATTCAAAATTTTGGCCCTTTGTGGGGGAGGTACCAGAAGGAATAGTCCGATCTCTACCATCTTTATAACAAATTTTGTGTGGATAGAAATATTCAGATGTGCCAAGTCAGAAGGAAATCAGATGTTAATTTCACGTTTTATGAGCTTCATGGATATTGAAAATGTTGACCCTTTTGTGGGGGAGGTACCAGAAGGAGTGGACCGATATATTCCATCTTCACACCAGACCTTTGGTTAATAAAAATATAGTGATATGTAAAATATGAAGAGAACCGGATGCTTATTTCGGATTTAATAATCGTTTTGATTATTCAAAACTTTGACCCTTTGTGGGGTAGGTACCAGAAGGAATGGTCCGACCTCTACCATCTTTATAACAGATTTTGTGTGGGTAGAAATATTTAGATGTGCCAAGTCAGAAGGAAATCAGATGTTAATTTCGCGTTTTATGAGCTTCGTTAATATTCAAAACTTTGGCCCTTTGTGGGGGAGGTACCAGAAGGAATGATCCGATCTCTAACATCTTTATAACAGATCTTGTGTTGATAAAAATATTGAGGTTCGACAAGTCTGAATGGAATCGAATATTATTTTCGCCTTTTATGAGCTTCCTGGATATTCAAAATTTCGACCCTTTGTGGGGGAGGTACCAGAAGGAGTGGGCCGATATATTCCATCTTCACACCAGACCTTGGGTTAGTAAAAATATTGTCATCTGTGGAATTTGAAGAGAACCGGATGCTTATGTCGGATTTTATAATCGTTTTGATTTTTCAAAACTTTGACCCTTTGTGGGGGAGGTACCAGAAGGAGCGGTGCGATCTCGACCATCTTCATAACAGATCTTGTGCTGATGGAAATATTCAGATGTGCCAA